AGTTTTTTTGTCGATCTCCAAATAATCTATCTATCTATCTATCTATCTATCTATCTATCTATCTCAGCCTTTTAAAGTTTGTCTTTCAATCTCCGTCTATTCCATCTTCTTTCCCTTGTAGCAATATGTTTCTTTTAGCGACTATCTCTATCTCTCTCTTTATCTCGCTCTCTTTCTCGTTCTCTCTATATATGTCTATCGTCTTCTCTCTCGCTTTCTCTCTTAACCGCTGGAGGTCTCCACAAATCCTGTACGCTTCGATGTCATACGGATAAAGGCCAAGAAAATAGACACGAGGTCCATCATGGGAACGATAAAAAAAACTTATTGTTTCTCAGCGAATGATTTTCAAGGTTTTGTTTTCTTTCTGATTTTTGGGGTTTTTGATTTTTTTTTTTTTACTTTATTCTTATAAACAAAAAGCCAGAAAATTAAAGAACACATGAGACGTCGAAAATAAAATAATTATTTCATCAGGAAAAGATTATTAGATTTCACAACAATAGTCTGATAAAAAAAATACATTGAAACTTTATCTTTGCTCTGAAAAGAAAAAAAAATACGTTCATTGATAACTAGAAACTAATTTCAACAAAATTAGCGATTGCCCGGATATTGTTTAAGATGCATCGTGCACCAAAAGATTATTATTGTTATTTTTTTTATTTCTGTTTTATATTTCCTTCCGGGCTCCAACCAGTGACCTAAGATTAGAAATTTCTCCATGAAATTTTGCACTGAAACAAAACGAAAAAAAAAAATGATCACACACATTTTGCGTACATAAAGCTCTTAGTAATGTGTAAGCTGTACCTGTGATTATCCCTTCAGTTCGTCTATCAGAAACATTTCCAATCAATCCGAGAGATCTTGGTGTGATTTAGATATAATGTTTTCCAGAGTTTTATTCTATATTTAAGGATATTTACTATCACCATTGAGACATTTCCAAAGCCTTAAGGATCCAAGAGTGGGGTTCATTATCAAAGGATTTACGATAATCTATCCAAACTGGGCTGAGATTTTGACCTTTTTTTCCTACAATTTTCCATGATCTTTTTATTCATGAATAGTTGATTTTTCCAACCATATGAACCTCTTCGCCATCTCTTATACGAGAGGAAGAATGCTGTTTTCATCTAGTAAAGAATAAGTATAGTTCGTCAGGACAAACATGATAAATTTATAAATGGTGGACATGTTACTAGGGATTGCCCGGATATTGTTTAAAATGCATCGTCCGCCAAAGGAATAATAATAATAATAATAATATTATTATTATTATCATCCACTTAATTTTTTTTTCATAACCGGTTATTATTGACCATGTTTGCCGTAGTCTCTGAATATGGAATCCAGTGAAGTCCGTAATGTCTTCAATATCAGAGGTTGGCAGTGAAGATTCGGAGAAAGTAGCGGTTGTTGATTCTTTAAGTCTTCGATATCGGATTGGCAGTGAAGATATTTTGGGAGAAAAACAAAATGGGTGCCTTTATACACGTCGGATTGAATATTTTGAGCTTTCTGATTGGTTAACTTGGTGGACTATAAAATGAGTCAGCTCATTTTGGCTAGCTCACTAGTACTAAAAGGTACCCAAAAATCCCAACACAGTTATATTGCATTATGGGTATTCTCAATCATGATGCACGACATGAAACATATAGCACTTTTCATAGAATATTTCCAGAGCTAAGCAACGCACACATCTGAAGCGATGGGAAACAAGGCTTTCTTCCGAGATACGGTGGTATAGACCCTAAAATCGCATTGAGAACAGGAACATTATAGGGCTGAACGTCCCATATTCTGGAACATTAATCCGACAGTCCCATATTCTGGCACATTAATCCGACAGTTAGTGTACATTTTAAAATTTCCAAATTCCTTGAATATGAAAAATATAAACGACCTTCTATAGCAATTTTGATGGCTGTCTTCTAAGTTATACTTGAAATTTTAATTAATCTAGCCAGACTGATTTTAAAATTTTTAAAGTTACTTTTTTTAATGTATTTTAACATTATTTCACAAATCTTTCAACTCAATTTTTCTCGGTTCGGACATCTACAACGTAATTAATCTCGCCAGACAAGCATTACACTACTTTAAAGTGCTGCTTTCTAAGCGTAGCTTAGACGTAGCACATTGCCAAATGATGGGTCAATCAGTGAGGTTCGAACTTACTACTACGTAATTAATCTACCGAGGCAAGTATTATACTTATTTAGCGTGCCCTTTTCTACGCGTTGCTTATACGTTGCACTTGGCCGAATGATGGATCAACCACTGGGATTCGAAGTTACTAATACGTAATTAATCGAGCCAGACAAGCATTACACCACGTTAAAATGCCCCTTTCTAAGCGTAGGTTAGATGTTGTACTAGACCAAAAGTTTTAGCCCCTAGTGAGCATCAAACTCACTATTCAGTCTTAATTAATGTTGCTATAACGGCCACTTTGGTGAGGAGTCATTTTCTTATTTTTTTTGACGAAATACGATTTTAACATTATTATTATTATTCACATTTAATTTTGTAACAAGAGTACTATCTGTCCATAACGAATGGACTCTTGTGACACACTGTTATAATTTATTCATGAACTCATCGCAATATTTGATCAGTCACAAATTGTAGAGCCTTCTACAATTTTTCAATCTTGATATTGACCGCAGGCTTCTCCAACAACAATGGCGATGACCACCCTCACTCTTCTAGCTGACCACAATTAAACAGAGCAGAGATTATTATTATTATTATTATTATTATTATTATTATTATATATTTAAATAAGAACGCGATTTAAGAAATGACAAAGAAAAGACAAAGTTTAGCAATGTTCAACAATATTTCGACCTTATGTCTGTCTTCGTCGGGTTATGTTTAAAAATTTTATAGCATTATAAAAATATTAAAAAAAAACTACCAAAAAATTATAAATCTTATAAAAAATTACATGTCACTTGTCTTGAGAGAAACGGACATACTGGTAATCAACGCGTCAAAACAAATGAAACGCTGAATATAAATATGTGTTGAGGTAAGATTGCCAAATAACTCGATCATTAGACGACTCCTTGAGAACGTTACTCTAGTGTCTACAATTTTAACGATAGTTTTTGAGAAACTGGATATAAATTTTACATGTGATCAAAAATTGACAGAATTGTAGAAACTTTATCGAACTCTCCTCCTAAACTTAGCAGATGAAAAACTATCAGTAAATCGTAGACAAAATACTGATTCATGTCCGTTCTCTGATCTGAAAGCTTCAAGTTGGTTTTCTTCGAAGTTTGTCATGAAAACATTCACAATGTGAACGTTCAAATAGGGTACTCATTGGCTTGATGGTAAAACGTTTATTCAATCTTCATCCTGTTGCTTTCCAGGAGGAACCGTATAAGTATTGTTGTAACCTAGAAAGGGTTACTAAATGGGGGATGATCAAAAGGGAGGTTTGAAATGAAATGGTAATCTTTATAACATCAACAAAATATAATACTCGCCAGCGACATGAAATAGGTAAACCACTGCTAGTGGTGGACTACATAGACAGCATATAAACCCCCACTTAGTGTCCAACGTATTTATGAGGATTGGGACATGCCCATTTGCGTTCATATGTACGGTACCTAACACTATCTATCTATCTATCTATCTATCTATCTATCTATATAAAAAAATGTTCTTTAAGAAATCTATCAATCTATATATATATATATATATATATATATATATATAAATATATATATATATGTGTGTGTGTGTGTGCGTGTGTGTGTGTGTTTGTATCTATCTGTTGTAACCTAGGAAGAGTTACTGAATGTGGAGTAACCAAAATGGAGGTTTGGAAATGAAATGGTAAACTTCATAACAGCAATAAAATAGAATACTCGCCAGCGGCGTGGAGTAGGTAAACCACTGCTAGTGGTGGACTACTTGGACAACATATTACCCCACCCCACTTACAATAGATTTCAACGTATTTATGAGGATTTGGACATACACATTAGTGTTCATAGGTACGGTACATACCACTATCTATCTATCTATCTATCTATCTATCTATCTATCTCAGCATGTTCCTTACCTATCTATCTCAGCCTGTTCTTATATATATATATATGTGTGTGTGTGTGTGTGTGTGTGTGTTTGTGTACGTGTGTGTGTGTATACGTGTGTGCGTGTATCTATCTATCTGTCTGTTGTAACCTAGGAAGAGTTACTGAATGCGAGGTAACCAAAACGGAGATGAAATGGTAATCTTTATAACATCAACAAAATACAATACTTGCCAGCGGCGTGAAATAGGTAAACCACTGCTAGTGGCGAACTACTTAAACAGCATATTAACCCCACTTGCAATAGTTTCCAATGTATTTATGATGACTGAGGCATACACATTAGTGTTCATAGGTCAGGTATGTAATAAATATACAGAGAAAGTTTGATGGAATTGTTCTGTTTTTGCTTTCCGATATCCGTCAATCCGTCCATGATGATCAAGGCTTGGATAAAGAGACGAGAAATTCATAGTGACTAAAAAACAATCTTGAAAATCATTTTTTCATTCTGAGAATTTATTGTTTTTACGAATAAAATCATTTGTCCCGGACATAAGACGAAGAACTTTTTGTTAAGAGAAAAAAAAAAAAAAAAAGAAATCCAGCCACTCAAAAATTTTTGTCGCGCAACATTTATATCGACTACAGATTGGTCGTAGAGGAGAGAATCTATCAAAATTTTTGTGTATTTTTGGAAGGCCGTAAAAAACTAATGTTCTTTGTACTGAACGTAATATTTTAGATTCTGTTTCATTGATGAGACTATTTCCTTTCATTTCAGAAATTATCTTGTCTAACTTTTTTCTGTAATAAGGGATAGTGTCTATTTTTATTTCTTCATAAAAACCGTTGTCCCTTAAAACGGCTTCACAAGCCAAAATATAATTTTCCTTATCAATAATAACAATGGCGCCTCCTTTGTCTATAATTTCATGATTTGATTTGTTTGTTCAACGACACATCAACTCCGTATGGGTCATTTAATGACGAAATTTAATTTCCTTGGGAACTTGGAAGTAGTAAAAATATGATATCTGTTATTCTGCTTTCACAGTTGAATACATGGTAAATGATACACAGCTTTTGTGCATATACATATTTGTGTGGACATAATTACAAGAGGCGGTGATATATGTGTTTTATGCTATATATTTGTTCAAGTTATATTTTGGAATACAATTTGATTCCTGTAAGAAATTGTAGGAAATTATATGCTTTAATTTCATGAAATTGTAGGACATTATATGTATTGATATCATGAAAGAGTTCTCTTATGTTGATTGATGTATTGTAAGTAATTTTATTATCAATATGTATTTTTATAATTGTTTTATATAAAAATGTATTGCAGCTATTTTTACTAAATAAATTATTATTATACTTTCATAGGGTTTTGTTCTGTGTTTGGGTTTTTACTATTTTCCATACCTGGAACCCTAACAGGTGCTACCACCCCGGGTCAGGGTGGATCTGGGAACACTGTCAATTAAATGGTTACCCGCTCCTCAAAACTTTCAATCTCCCGATCAGGGACTTTTCTGCCGGATGCAGTTTATCGTCATACCCAGGAATTCATTTTAATGACGAGCGAATCATGATTAACGAGTCGATGAAGTGCGTTACGTTGTGAAGTTGTAAGGTTGTTCCAGGTTTTGTTACTGTTTAGTTTTGACTTTGTGCGACTTCTGTCGAACTCAGTGCTTTGGCAGAGAGGAACCCGCACGATGCTTTGCCGAAGGTCAAAGTTTCGTCATTTATATAGACAGGCCCTGAATATTTATGTGGGTTCTAAATTTATAATATTTTATTTCATACATTCTTTTAATGCTACTTTTTTACATTTATCTAATCCGAAATCCATACCAATGTCATGACTGAAACATTTTACAGAATTGGTGAGACCCTTCAACTCATTGTCGTCTTTGGAAAGGGGTTTGAGATCATCCATGTAGAGTATGTGATTAAACAATTCCTTGTTTACTTTGTATCTATGGCTATTATTGTTTTCTTCATGCGCAAGGGAAATTACAAACGGATAGAACTGAAGGGTTGACAGGGAGTCTCCTTGAAAGATTCCTCGTAGGATATTCAGTCGGTTGGATGTGGCAGTGCATCTGGTGTGATTTATGTATAATGTGGTTCTCCATATTCCCATGCTGTGTTTAAGGAAATTTACTATCAGCGTAGACTTTGTACGTTTCCAAAATTTTAAGGATCCAAGAATGTGGCATAATATCAAAGGCTTTCCGGTTATATATCCATGCAGTGCTGAGATTTCTACCTCTTTTTCTGCAGTTTTCCAGGATCATTCTTCTTATAAATAATTGATCTTTGCAACCATATGAACCTATTCGACATCCCATCTGTTCCAGGGGAAAAAATGTTGTTTGCATCGAGAAAAGAGTAATTATTATTATTATTATTATCATTATTATTATTATCATTATTATTATTATTATTATTATTATTCGTGCATGTTATTTTTCCTGCTTTCTCTCCGGGAGAATCGGGTCCAAACTATAATTCTCCCTTTCAAGAATGTTACTTTTGCATATTTATTCAATCCGAAATCCATGCCTATTTCTTCACTGAAACATTTAATAGTATTGAGAAGACCCTTCAATTCATTGTCATCTTTGGCAAAGAGTTTGAGATCATCCATGTAGGTGATTAAACAATTTCTTGTTTATTTTTGTATTCATTAGCTATTATTGTTTTGCTCATGTGATAAAGACATACAAAACATTTTGGGGTGACAAGGAGTCTCCTAGTTTTCCTCGTAGGATATTCAGGCAGTTGGATGAGGCAGTGTCTTGTGTGATTTAGGCATAAACTCTGTTGGTTCTCCACATTCCCATCAAAGTCTGTTTCCCGGAAATTTACTCTCACCGAGGTTTCTATAAACAATTCAAAAGTCATAAGGATCAAGAGTGTGGCACATTATCAAAGGCTTGATTTTTAACCTGTCCATTGATTTTTGTTGTATTTATACCTCTTTTCTGCAGTTTTTTCAGTATCTTTATTCTTATAAATGTTGATCTTTGCAACCATATGAACCTCTTCGACATCCCTTCTGTTACAGGAGAAAATGTTGTTCGCATCTAGAAAAGAGTAAGCTTTATTATTATTATTATTATTATTATTATTATTATTTGTGCATGTTATTTTTCCTGCTTCCTCTCCTGGAGAGCCGGGTCCAAATTATGGTACTTAGGACCTACAGGAGAATTTTTATTTAATTGATTGCACTTTTCCTATTATATGTGATGTTCCTAGTAGAGTGATCTTCTGGGAAACTTGCATTTTGAAGTTACTTGGCATACTGTTAGTAAGATTCTTTTTCTAACGAGGCCCAGTGCTCCGATTACTATTGGTAGAGTCTCAGTTTTCATTCCCCACATCCTGTTAATCTCGATCTCCAGGTTCTTCTATTTGGACAATTTCTCGATAATTTTCATGGGGATGTTTCTGTCAGATGATACCGCTATGTCAATAAATATACACTTCCTGGATTTCTTGTCTTTTATGATAATATCAAGTCTGTTGGTTTTTATTTCCCTGTCAGTTTGGATTGGCATATCCAAAAAAATAGTTATTTCGTTATTTTGGGTAATTTTGTCTGGATGGTGCTTATACCATCTCTCAGTGGCTTCCATTTTGAGCTTCTTTGCACATCTTTCGATGCATAAGTGTCGCTACTTTGTTATGTCTTTGGGTATTTTCATTTTTTTATAGTTCAGGATATCCTGAGATAATATGGTCGACAGTATTTTCCGCAGATCCTGCATTTCGGATTATTTCCATCCTTGATTATGTGACAGTTATAGGATCTGGTTGCAAGGCTTTGGCCCTGAGCTGCAATTAGTAGGCATTCTTGTCTCATCTTTCAACTCGGTGCTCCTTGGGCACTGATTTAATTTCTGTTGATCCACATCTGCTTCTTTTGTTATTATTATTATTATTATTATTATTATTATGAAGAGAAGAGTAGAAAATAATCAATAAAGTCTGTACAACTACCAGTTGAAATATAACTCCAAACACTCGACAATCACTCAGACTTGATATTTAATATTGCCAACCAAGCCGTAAACATTTCTATTTTCAAGGTCCCATGAGTCATATTCTGTTTCATCTTTTCAGTGCAAGACTAAAAGTTTTAGTTCATGTGAGGTACAAGTCATAGACTATTGATACTGTTAATGTTTATGACGCACTGAAAAAGGCATGAAAACACTTCCCTTGTACTCTGTCCTGTTGCGTGATTTTAACTCGGACGTGACAAAACGAAATGGAATGGAATTAACCCATGATGAAATCCCTCAGTCATAACTTTTACCCCTTCACACACACACACACACACACACACACACACACACACACCAAACAAAAAACCACAGCAGTTGAGGATTTCCAACAGCAGCAACTACTAAAATGGATAGCATATGTAAGCACAAGAGAAAATATTGATATAAACAAGATGTTGACGTTCCACATTATTTCGAACAAAAGATTAAGGAAGGCAACCGCCATCCATACTGGACTTTAGAAATCTATTTTGCTAAAAGGCTATTTTATTATTTTCAACCGAAAATAACACAGAAAGCTTGACCAATAAATGTTCCCTTATAAGAAAAAGGCTAATATTACCGCTACCATTACTGTTGTGGATTCCGGGTTGAAATCCGGTACCAATAAATAACAAACGCCAGGAATAAATATATGAAAATAATGTATTACCGTAATAATACAAACTGGTAAAGCAGGTTAGTAGTTCCAGGAATACGGGTTAGTAGCAAAATATATATATAGTCTTTGGTATTGAAGTATCGCTGTATGACTTCTTATTGAGTCTACGTGCTCGCTCACTGTGACTCCTACAACGTTGTTACCTCACCCTCACTCTTTCGGTTACCTACAACCTTTTACTCTGCCACTCTGTCACTCGACTCTTCGGTCTTGCTCTCCTGGGTCTTCGCGTAGCGGTAGTATATGTATATACTGGGTGAGTCCATTTGTGTAAAAAAGGGGAGAAACCCTCA